AGGGGGGGGGGAGCGGCTGCCGATTACTGGGACTTAAAGAAGGAGGAGAGTCCGGCATTAGCCGGGCGGTTCGACTGTCTCTATATATAAAGTGGTAACTTTGTGCGTTCGTTTGTATGCCCGTTTTTGCGTCCTTTCGAAAGTTTTGCAGGTACAACTAAGCTATGAAATGGGAAATCAAGCGATACTGTTCGTATTGGTCCTCTAACGAGTCCTAGGTAAGCGGGAGTGGGCATACGGTGCACGCATTAGCGTGCGTAGCCCAACTGGTTATATATGCGAGCTCGGCTCGCATTCGAAGCAACCAGGCCCCGAGATCGCGCAGGACCTTCTTACTGTTCGATTGTACCGCCTCGCTCTGCCTCCGATCAGCTTGGCACGCCGCCCGCAAGATCTGAAATTGATACGACTGTTGAACGTTCTATGACTTATGCTGTCAGTTACTCTTACACCTCCCCACTCTGTTAGTTGCTCTTACACCTTGCGGTATTCACTAGTGGAAGAAGTGGATTCTGATGAAACGTTGACTATTGTGCTCTTCACGTAAAGATGTCGGGGAGATCCCATGTTTCGACAATGGTGTTAAGTCGCGCGGCCCCCTCGACGAGCTGGCTCCAGTTAGACAAGGTGTGCAGAGAGTTGAGATACCCCAGCACGAGCTGCCCATATTTGCAATGTGTGAGGGCGACGCTCTTCCGTTGAATGTCATTCAGAAAGTCGCCTGAGGACTCGTCAACGTCGGTGCGTGTGGTTAATATAATGGTCACATCAATCTCGCGGCCCTGGACGGAGTCAACGGTATAAAACGTCATTCCCAGCCTGTTGGCGTATTCCTGGAGACGATTTTGCTATTCCTTATAAAATGTGGTAACGCTTGTGAAGAGGGTGGTAGTAGGCCACGAAGGATTTCTCGGCAACATTGATCTTCGTACTCGCTGTAATGTGACTAGGAGTATGACCGGTACGATGTGCCGCGTACATTCACAGGTACAAGTGGCTCTCGTGGGTTCGGCAGGGATAACCGAAGAATCACAACATTGCGCCTGTGCGCCGGAGTTCCGCTGGCCAACGCTCCGTCGCTTACCAGAGTTTTAGAAGGTGGATAGGACGAGGGATGGATGTTCGCGGAAAGTAGTGACCACTGGGGCGAGCGGATTATTTCTGTTGAGTAGTAGAGACATCACTCCAAGTCCTCCGAGGCGTGCTGCTAAGGTAACCCTGGGCATCGCAAGTGGGGCTGTAGTTGCTGTACGTCCCCTACATATATGTGACAAGTCTGCGGGAAGCGGGTTGCCATTGCGACGAATACGGGTTCGTTGATCTGGGAATCTTCGCCCGCAATAATTGTCCGACAAGAAGATGGGAGTCCGTGGAAGAGGCTTTCTTACCTTGTGGGGTTTAATAGAGACGACGGGGTGATGCAAAGGATGGCCGGAAACTGGAGTCGAAACAAGATCGCGATTGCTCGTTCCGTTGCTTCAGAATTGCACATTTCTGTGATGTGGCACTCGGTCGGAATACCGGGAGAGCAAGCCTTGTAGTATTATATGTACATAGATCGACAGGTGTTCGCGGTGCTTCTTTTTGTAGTGCGGAAACTCTAACGAAGCGAAGTATTGGGAGATGGCTAAATTGGTCGAATCGCAGAATAGTTTCGGTAAATTGGACAATTGCCACGTTCGCTGTTGCTGTAGCAGTGACCAGCTCTCCAGGTACGGAGAGACGTGCGGTTACGAACGCTCCAATAACGGTTTTGCCGGTTCCGTACGCAGCATGTATGGCGATGATTGGGTGTGTGCCTCTGCTCATCTGTACTGCTCGAGCCAGATTCGGACGAAGTTGAAGGCGACAAGAATTGAGTATGATGCTCGTATTCGTAGGAGGTGGCGGTGGTGAGGGATTGGGGTCTCCACGTCTGCCGCCGTAGACGGAATCCAGAATGACGCTCGCCAAGAACGGGGATGCATGATCATTACCGGAAATAGGTTGGAGGCTGCTAAGAGTTCAAAGACGAGGTACTTTCTTGATGGGGGCTGAGAGAGGCGGACACACACGCGTACACGCGCAATGGAGTAGTATGCGGATTCACGCCCGTGTTGGATAACGCTGTCACGTATCGGGTGCTGGGAGCGGGTGTCGGCGCTGAGTTTGACGAAGAGGGTCCTAGAGTCGAAGTCGTATTGAACAAAGGTGATTGTAGCTCACGTCATGGTGGTTGAATGTATTGTACTGTACTGTATGTAATTAACCCATACGTCGACATTACTCGAACGGTTCCAGCCGTTGTCGGGGGCCATGGACGGGAGATTGCAACGAAGTGGTAGACCGTCGAGACTGGGAACGAAAGCAACTACTTCGTTCGTGCATTTGTCGTCCGTAAGAAAGGCCTATGAAACAAGTGAGGCGCTTGCGACGGCGAATATTTTTCCCATTCGAAGGCGTGCAACGCGAATATGGCGTCCGTAGCTGGTAAACGCTGGGTCGCGAGTCGCTAGTCGAGCCAATTGCGATCTTCCTGGGACAAGTGGGATATTCTGAAGGTTATAATGGCTTCTCTGGGGTGAGCCGGAAGAAAATGACGTATTTCTGCCGTGAGCATGCGTTGAGCCTGGACAGAGACCGCTGTGTGTGAGAAACGCATCGCGCAAGAGACCTTCGTCCGTGAGCTGGCCAAAGAAGGACTTTTCAATCGACTTGAGTAAGCGAAAACGAACACACCGATTGCGTGTTTCTGAGAGCCTCTGGGAAGCCTTCGAATGCTGCGTACATGGGATTTACAGCTTGTCCCCTGTTACCTCTACGCGCGACTGCGAGGACCATACCGAAGATGTTACGTTGCGCTGGAGTCGGAGTGGCGAAGATTAACTCGCGTACCCGAAAAAAGAACGGTTGGTTTAGGTTCGATGCTGATTGGCGTGGTGCCCGTGCCTGCCAGAGTGAGTATTCGGTGGCGATCCTCGGTTTCCAATACTGATAGTGTTGGACGTAGGGAGATTACGCAGACGAAATCTTTGATGGAGACTTGAGCTCGATCGAATCCTCGTGTCTGCGAGAGATAGTTGATAGAGTCCTATATCATTCGTTCCCGATCTGTGGGAATATTTTCGTGAATGCGCAAATGAGAATGCGTGAGAAATCCCATGTAGAGATAATGATCTTGGCGAAGGGAAAATTTCAAGTGTTCAAGGGGAAGTCATGCTCTTGCTATGCGGTGCATGTTGATACAGATGTTCTCCGCCGATAAGGCGTGAAAGGCTCGCGGTCGGGGAATGGCATGTACCTTATGCCGATGGTGTGAAAGCGCGCTGTCAGCCTTGCGCGGAGCCTGCCTTGGCAAAGTCAATGTAACGAAAACCTCTTTACCAGCAAATAAAGACTTCTTGAACATATATAAACGGTTACTCATATCGCCACTGCTTGAAACGATGAGGGGTCCCCATATCTCATAAGTGCGCATCAGATCATCCGATGAACCAATGAATATCGAAAAGTTACCATGGAGAATTGCTTTTCTTTCTTGTTCTTTGGCGCCGAGTGAAATTTAGCTAGCCACGAAGTATTCAGTGATAGAAGAGGAGAAGAAGGATCAGATGAATGCTAATGTGAGCCAAGCTACTCTGCGGAGCTAAGAGAGATGATACTGCACGGGGGAAAGGGGGAAAATGCCAGAAAAGCCAAAGAAACATATCTAGCAAATCGAGGAAATCGAGGAGATGCAATAAAGGAAAGAAAGTCGGAATAAGGAACCGCGATGTGGACCGTCTCCGCTGCTACCAGTTAAAAATAATATTGTGTGCGTCCACAATCTTCATATTAACGTTTATTATAGGAGGATATAATATACGAAGTAGGCACAGAATATGTGATATACGAGGAACTATACAGATACGCTAAGAAGCCATGATACAACCAGGTTTCGAAATCGTGCGGGACCTTCTTACTGTTCGATTGTACCGCCTCGCTCCGCCTCCGACCAGCTTGGCACGCCGCCCGCAAGATCTGAAGTTGACAATGGATTGACCATTCTATGACTTATCCTGTTAGTTACTCTTGCAATACACTTATGCACACACATGCACACACACATATAATGCATATACACACATATGCACACGCGAAAACACACGCATACAAATATGCATATGCACACACCAGCATACATATACACATACAGATTCGTACACACAAACATAGACATACACGGCACCACACATACTCACATATGCACATTCACATACACATAAAACACATATTCATGCACGCACAAAATGATACACATACACATACACGTAGAGACACACACACAAAGATGTACACGCACACATACACGCATTTACTCACAGATACATTCACACGTACACGTGCCAATATTCAGACAAAGATACACATACATAAACACAACGAAACACATACCCGTACACATAGGACAAGTTCATAGACCTATATACACATACACTTACACGCATACACATACATTTACGCAGACTTATCTAATTATAAACACGCAACACAACACGTACATGCACACACAAACAGAGAGATCCACATTCACATACACATACAGTAGCGCCCGAAAGTATTCGGCTAGATACTTCTTTAGTCGTACTTTTTAATCGTAACCTCCTTTCCTACTTGATCTAATCATGCAAAATTTCAATATGTGTAGCAAGGGTGTGTTGAAAATGTTTACTACTATGAGCCTGCTCCAGATATCCCAAATAGCTTAAATTTAGAATCTACCGGAAATACGGACGACTGTTCTATCTGGGACTTCTTCCTTTCTTGCCAAGTCTAAAGTGTACGAGCGCTAATGCCAAACACAGTGAAGGAGAAAAACGCACATAAGGTGCAAATAATTGCAGATGTTGCCAACCCTGCTTGAAGCAAAGTCTACCAACGCAACCAACATCTTGCTCTCCGTGTGCCCATCTTCCTGCGTTGCATTCAAATAGTGTTGGATATTGTGAAATATACTTTAGTTGAACAATCCCATTTTGTGGGATTTGCTCCACCAAAAAAATCACGGCAGAAAAAGCGATTGATTGATTACTCGACGGACCTCATCCTCAGCGTGCGATGGGGCCAGCCGTTGCCTTAATCTAAGAGCTGTATTCTTGGTGGTGGAATTCTTTGTTCAAGAGTCTATGGAATACATAGTTCTTATACCTGTGTATGACCTCACTAGACACCATTGAAATCGCACCTCACTAGTGCGGAGCTTTGATTAGCCCAATGAATAGCCAGCCGGAAGACGACCTTCTCTTCTTCTTGAAAACGAGCTTCCGTCTGGGTCCGTATTATTCGTTGCGGCTACGATAGCTTTGGCGAGGTTCTTGGAACGTCTGTAGGCAGCGTCTCCCAGAGTTAGCGTTCTTTGCTAGCACTTGTAAGCTGCTTTCTTCTGCCTCAGATTCCGCTGGAAATGATTTTTTCGAAAGCATGATTCCTTGTCTCCTTGGGATCAATTAGAGTCCTGCCCCAGCGTGTCCCTCGCACAGTGCGGGATAACTTTCACAGCGCTAACCTTCATCTTCTGGATTGGTTTTCCAAGACTTCGAGAGATCAGATTACAACGCTTGAACCTTTTTTTGCTCGGTGCAGCTTCCACTGAGAGCTTATTATACACGTCAGCATGTTTACCTTTACTGCTGTGATTTTCAGCGTTTTCTCCCCGGGAAACGTGGTGCGGACTGCTAGGTCGTCGGCTGTGGACAGGTCGAGAACCCTCTAATCTTCATGGTTTCTGAGCTCGCCCCTGCATCTTTATGGGTCATCATGGCCAAGATAGAACCTTTCTTTTGGCACTCGTGGTGCCCTTTTTGTGGCGCGTACATGGTTATTCCCGTCCAGTAACTAATTAATCTACACAAGCTCAGCCTTTTGATGATGCTGAGCTACCCGAAAGTGGAATAGGAATGATCTGACTGGGATTTCCAATGGCAAACACAGTATTGTTGTTTATCTCTAGCAGAATTTGCAATCTGGTGGAAGTAGTTGCTTCTACGAATTTTCTTTCTCTATCCGCCGGAGGTAAAACCTTTTAGTTTCCACTATCTATCATTGAAAACTTTCAATCGTACTGCTCGTTAGAGACTAGCGCTGACAAGTTGAAAATGTGCCAATATTGCAATCTTCTTGCAGTTCGCAGTGCAACCATTATAAATGGGAAATAAGTTTTTAGCAAATTTTCAGAAGTGGTGGACGGCGCGATGGATGGATCATGCATCGAAGAAAGCACAGATCGACAAAGATACGGTGAGTGATATTAGCGAATGAAAAGTTAAGCTAATCCGATTATGTCGTAAGGGTGAGAATGTGGGAGATGGTAGGAACGATTTTCTTGTATAAACAAGAAAACGACGCCCTTCTTGTATTGAGCTTGACTCGTCGCCTGCACCCTCACAAGTCCAAAATGGCTGGTGCAGGGAAACAGGAGCGATTGATTTCCAGAGAACACAGGCACACACCGATACCGTGCCCTTGGTCCATTCCCTCATACGCGTCTTCAATCTGCCGCCTGCACTCGTTTCCATTTTGAACGCCCCAAGCGTTCGCGTTTCCAAATTAGCGATTTGCGCGTGAGCCCCACCTCTTGTTGGCGTAATCAACTCATGCTACCTCATTGCTGCCGTAATTATTCCTGGCAAATTTGAGTGCCTCAGGTCCAACTGATTAATATATTAACTGATTATTCAATAATAGGGGATCTATTATATCCAAGTTTTTCCTCTGATGGCTCACGCTCTGCTCACTAAAGAACCTCTATAGAAGAACTTCTATAGGATTTGTGAAGAACTGGCGTAAACCCATGTGGCGGATGGGGATAGATTTTAAATTGAAAGTAACCGGCACCTCATAGACGCGGATGAATTTAGCGATTAAACCTCTTCTTTTGCGTTGAATCGACTCACTGAATGTGTTTACTGCCTATTTTTTGAAAAGTTGTAAGAATATGTCGTCATTTGAGAAAATTAGATGAGGATAAAGCGAGTAGAAACAACAATAATAACAACTCTAAGTATTTGAGAGAAGAAAGTTCATTTGTTCATTGTTTCATTTGATGGCACTAGTATGAGTTAGAGTGTTAGAGACAAGTCTCTGGAATCTTTTAAAAAGCCGGTCTTAATTTGATTATCTAGCCCTAGAACGGAGATTGGCAGCCTCGAAGCCACAAAACCTGTTAATGCTTTGAAATACGGGTTTACCGTCACTTCGCCACGGAGGACGAACTGGATATTGAGGGAAATTTCATACAGTCGGGAAGTAAACATCAGCATCAGCCACCACAGAATCAGTTGCTAACACGACCTGCACCTGTGCACACTTGATGGCTATCCGGCTATCCTACAAGGAAGTTCCCTCAGGGCGTGNGACGCTTTTTGGAAATGGTTTTTTGCATGGTGTAGGGGCATGACTACTAAGTACAGAATTAGGGTCCATTCCCGCTAAATGGCCTTCTGAATGCCAAAAAAGCAGTGAAAATGATTTTGTCAGAAACTGCCGTCTAACCCACTAAGCGTCGTTTGTTTCATTCATGGCGGCGACGGTCCGCACAGTAGAAGGTGCCAGTAGACTGTGCATTGAAAATAACGTGAACGGTTGCCAAAAAGGGAGTCACATGTTGGAACATGTTGAAAAATGCAGGGATGTTTCATATGTGCTCTCCATGGGTGGGCTTCTGGCAGCAACGGGTGATGTGGTGGATAGCGATGAAGGACTTCGAATTGGAACGACTAGGCTGGGTTGATGGTTCGAATCCCAAGGCTTTGCCGTTTTGTATTTTATGCTACCACCTCCAGATTGGCTCCATATTGCACCAGGGCTAAAGCAAGTGCTAGACTGGTCCTGGTCACGACCATAGTCCGGGACCAGTCAGGCACTTGCATATCTTCTGCAGTAACCTCGGCTTCAGCAATGTGCTTCTTGATCGCGTCCTGCCAGCCCTTCATAGCAGTACGCGGAGTTAGGGGATTGTACGTTGGCAACGGGTATCGCCCAAACCCTTCATCTAGCCGTTAATGTAGTGATCCAGCACTAGAATGATTTCCTTAAGGGGTGACAGCTTATTATATCAAGCCTAATGCTCATGGATGTTTTAGCAAGAGGAGAATGAGTTGAAAAAGAATCTGATTTGTTTCCCCACAGAGGTCCGCGGTTGACGCCCAGGGAGAGGTTGGAATCGGGAGCTACAATGAATATGGAAATCCTGTTGCCTTTGCATTTACGAACGAAGTCGAGGACAGCTTCCATCGAACAGGAACCATATAATAGGGTGTTGATCCCAATTACAACTTTTATATAGTGTGAAATGAAGAGACCCCTTCCTACTCCTGGGAGTGTGAAGTCTGAAAGCTCCTCCACTAATAGTGCTCCACACATCAAATTCTAACGATTTGAAGAGGGTTATCGCTGGTCCTGGTCACGACCGTAACCAGTTGAGCAATTGTTTTGGCCCCGGTGCAATATGGAGTCAAGGTGGAGGTGGCAGCGTAATGTACAAAAACGGCAAACCTCCGGAGATCCGAACAACCAACCCAGCCTAGTCGTTCCAACTCGAAGTCCACATCGCTGTCCACCACACCATCCGTTGTTGCCAGCAGCCCACCCCTCGAGAGCACATATGAAACTTTCCCGCACATTGCAACATTTTTCAACGTGGCTCCCTTTTTGGCAACCGTTCACGTTTTTTTCAATGCGTAATCTACTGGCACCTCCTACTGTGCGGACCGTCGACGCCATGGATCAAACAAACGACGCTTAATGGCTTAAAGCGGCAATTTCCGACAAAATCTTTTTCACTCTTTTTTTTTGGCATTCAGAAGGCCATTTAGTTGAAATGGACCATAGTTCTATACTCAGTGCTCACGCCCCTATACCATGCAGGAAAACCCTTTCAAAAAGCGTCCCACGCCCTGGAAGACCTTTCTTGTTAGAGTGGAAAAGGTGTTTACTTTTTGGAAGCAAATCGCCTCCCAGTTACTTTATGGCCGCTCGATGCGCTTTTGACTGAGCCAATATGCAGGGTAGAAACAGATTCTCCACACGTGTGTATGAATACATCTGCGAGGGCGAGTAAATTCAAATAGACGCAAGCCTCAGAAACAGGGAGTCAACCCCCTGACTGCAACCGAGTCCCTGGGCAAGTGGCGATGAACTCCGGTCGGTGATTCACTCACCTATCTAGCCAGAGATCTATGTATGTATAAGAAAAAGAGAACTCCAGTGAGGGGGATCACGGTTTTATCCAGTCAACTTGAAACTTTTTTCAGCTCGCTATGATAATAGCAGGCACTGTTGGACTGATATGTGCAGCCACAAAACATGCAAGAGTCTGCTGTAACTCAATCCTTATCGTTATGCCACTCATATTTACTTTTGGATATCCTGAAGAATGTGCTCCGAGAGACGACATGATTGTTTACTGGTGAGAAAGAGTTGCTATTTTTTGGTCACTTTCAAATGACAATCAAAAATGAAGCCTATTACATTCACTTTTTAATGATTGGTGCTCCACCGCACTCAGGGAATCCTTTTAAAAGCGGCCTGATATCACGCCAATAATAAAGTACAATGCCCCTTACAAATAAATACGACCAGTCCAAACGCCTATCAACGCTAGACCCTGCTCTTTGTCGCGATTAACTTGGTCTGCCGCCTGAATTTCTTCCGAATGGAGACGCTCTGACACAGTGCGTTTCATAATTATAAGGTCACCCTCAAATTTTGCACTTTCAAGAAAAGCAATCATTAAGGATTTTTCCTAGCATCATAAACGGATTCCCCAGCACGAATAACCTAGG